TCGTGCGCGATAAATACGATACAGTTTTCGTAAATCTGAGATAGAAGGAGAATTAGCCGACGGGGTCTAAATGAAAGTTGTAGTACTCGTAAATACCAACGCGTGGATATAAAGAACGTAGAAAACGGAGCTCGTACGCGGAAGATACGGACGAAACTTAGGGGCTACTTTATTATAAAATCCCTATAAATAAAGGGTGAACTCTTCATATTTTCTTCACACCATAAGCCTTTCTTTCTCTCTCTAACTTCTCTCTAGCCTCCCTAAACCCCTCCCAAGTCTAGGGAACCTCCCTAGCACGAGAAGGAAGCCCCTGAGCGCCCGACGGCTCCGAGAAGAAAAGCTTTCGGCTCGGAAACACTGCTCCAGCGAAGCCCGATTTTTAATAAAAACCCGATGTTTTGTCGAGGAAAATTGTTTTAAGAGTAACAAAGCGATGTCCGAGTGTAGAGTCACCACCTTTTCAGGTGAGTGCATAGTCACTTTCATCTTACACATAGATATGAAGTATTTAATATAAATTACGTGCTATGTGTGCATATTGTCTGAATACTTGATGTCTATGCTGATGAAAGATTTTTATACATGTTTTAAATGATTTAAACTGTATATGTATTTTATATCTACAAAATGTTGGGGTAAAACATGGGTAGATGTAATAGACGATGTGTGATAAAATGATGTGAGGCCTCGATGTTGTTGTTGATTCTGTCATCTAGCGGAGTATGGATGACAACCACGGACTCTTCTAGACAGTCCAGTGGAACGCTAGCAGGCTCGCAACCTGTAGGTGTTTGTGAACGATGTGTTCACCGGTGTACTCCATCCCCCTCAATGTTGCCTTTAGGACATTTATTGCTGAGGAACCCTCTTAGCAGTAGTGTCCATCCCGATGATGATCATTAGGCTAGGTCCCTTATGATAGGTGTTTAGGGACGTAAAGTGAGGATAATGGGAACAGGTAATCGGGTTATTGTTGGTTGATGAAATTAATAAACTTATTTATTGTGGGTTGAAAACCATATGTGCTCACCAGGCTCCCAAGCCTGACCCACTCAGTTTCTTGTATTACAGGTAGTGGTGCACGAGCATAGATATGATGTTTGGGATGAGAGATTACGGATATAGGCATGTAGATATGAATAAATGTAGTAAGGATTATATTGTATTGTTTATGCTTTTGATCTGTATCGAACATGACATCCCGAGGTTTTTAATGAAATACATTTCTACGGAAATGCTTTGATAAATCTTTATCATATTTTATTTTGGGAACAAATTCCGCAACACTTTTATTTAAAATGTTACTCTGATTTTTAAACAAAGCATAAACAAAATCGGTCTTTTCTGGCCGTGAAAATGGGGATGTCACAGATAACGAGGGATTTTGGATTATAGGTTAGTAGATATAAATAAATGTTGTAAGACCTTTATGGTACTGTTATGCTTTTAGTCTGTATCGGAACATGACATCCCGAGGTTTTATAATATAATGAAAAATCATTTCTTTAAGAAATGATTTGATAAACTTTTATCATATTTTGTTTTGGGAACAAATTCCGCAAGTCTTTTAATCAAAGGATTACTCTGATTATATTTTAAAAGCATAAATTAAATCGGTCTTTTCTGACCGTGAAATTGGGGATATCACAATGTCACAATAGATTTTCGCATCTTCAGACGTGAACTTTCAGTTCCATTGTTGCTTAAAATATCGATTCTTCTTTTTATCACTTTCTCCGCAGATATCCCTGCCTTACTCAACAACTCATTTTCTAACGAAGATGTAGATGATAATGACATTTTAAGGGATTTGATAAGTATATGATTTGGACTTCGAAGCAACAAATGTGATCAACTTAGAAAAGCTTATAATAGTGATTAAATTTTCAGCAAAACATGTGTAGTCCTAAACAATATTAATCTGTCAATCCTCTCTTATTGTCATCCACTGCAAATATATACTCTAAAATACTAATTATACAAGATTATTTTTTCAATAACACAAAGTTGTATGTAGTTGATACGAAGATTTTCTCCAATGGTACTTGTTAAACAAAGCAAACTTGATGCTTAAGAAAACGGATGAACAGGGGGACTAACGTGAATAGGAGATAACAAACAAGGGAAAAAAATATATGGAGAGAAAAGATTTTACTAATAAGAAAAAAGAGTTTTTGCATACAATAAAGAAAAACGTAGCTCCTAATTTATACTAAAATTATTAAATACTTAGTGGAACTTAAAATCATTCACTGAATAAACTTAAAAACTAATAAAAAAGAAACTTTCCTATTTTTCCCCCTTGAACTAAAATTTTGTGTTTGGCTCAAACCGATTTTCTCAAATGCTCGTTCAAAACAATGTCGGTTCCTCTTGGATTAGATTTGTCTATTCTTTCTCCTATTTAGGACACTCGCTGCTATAGCGACCAAACTCACCACAGTTGTAACATTTAACGTGACTTTTATCCCGGACACGTTCATTACCATCTCGAGTTCTCCCGGACCCCTGACCTCTTCCCCGGCCACATCCAAAGTCATCCCGATTTGAACGTCCATTGGCACAATGCTTACAAACATGTGATTTTTCCTCACTAGCCAACAACAACCCACCTTGAGTGTCCTCCACTTTCTCGATTCCTTTTATATTCTCCTCGTATGCCTTCAATATTCCAACCGCTTCATCGAATAACATCAAATCCAACTCGAAACATTGCTCTATTGAAGCCATGATTTGGATAAACGACTTAGGCATTGAATCAAGTAACTTTTTCACCAAATCAGCTTCTTCAAGCTCATAACCAAGACTCCTTGGTTTTGAAGCTAAACCGGATAATTTTGTCACGAAATCATCGACCGTTTCACCCTCCTTCATGCGCAAACTTTCAAGCTCTCTCTTTAACGTTGCAAGCTGAGCCGTTCTCACCCGGTCTACTCCCAAATACCATGCTTTCAGCCCATCCCACACTTTCTTTGTGTCAGTGTACCTCGCCATTTGCAACACCATGTCTTCAGGTATCTCTTGAAACAAAAAGGCAATAGCTTGTTTTGACTTCTTTTGATTCGATGTTTCACCTAACGCCTTTGGTTCGACCGTCTCTCATATGCCGTGTGCATCCATAATCGACTTGACTTTGACTGCCCATACCGGATAATTCGTTGGAGTCAAAACGGGAACTTGATATGTCATCAAACCTCCTTCTTTACCCAACGACATCCTTTTCTCCTTAACCTCGACCTCTTTAATTAAGCTTGTTCCGAGAGCACTACTCTTCCACCGGACAACAAGACAAGGTCACAACCACCTTTACCGTCTTCCGTCACCCGCAAAACGAACCGAATCAAATCCACTTGCTTTGACATCTTCTCGTCCGTTTATTTCGCGCCTCCGATTAGTCTCTCACAAGCCCGATTAAGAATGACTAATCGGAGGCGCGGAATAAACGAACGGGAAGACGTCAAAGCGGGGGGCTTTGAATTGGTTCATTTTGCAGGTGACGAAAGACGGTAAAGATGGTCGTGACCTTGTCTTGTTGTCTGATGGAAGAGTGCTCTCGGAACAAGCTTGATTAAGAGAAACTGGGGTTGCTTGTAATCAACCTCGAATCATACCCCTTCAGCGAAACCGTTCTGATACCAAGTGTTAAACAAAGCAACCTTAATGCTTAAGAAAACGGATGAACAGGGGAAACTAACGTGAATAGGAGATAACAAACAAGGTACAAAAACTATATGGAGAGAAAAGCTTTTATTAATAAGAAAAAAGAGTTTGTGCATACAATAAAGAAAAACGTAACTCCTATATTTATACTAAAATTATTAGATACCTAATGGAACTCAAAATCATTCACGAAATAAACTTAAAAACTAATAAAAAAGAAACTTTCCTATTTTGCCCCTTGAACTAAAATTCATTGTTTGACTCAAACCGATTATCCCAACAATACTATTAGGGGTGACAAATTTGACACAAAGCGACAAAAATACACAACACGAAACGAAATTGAGATGAAATCGATTTTCAAATTCACTTTTATGTCGTGTATAAGAAACACTATGTTATGATGTCTCATGTTAATGTTCAAAATTCGATACGATAATAGCAAAAAACATCGTGTTCATGTTCAAAAAATATTTATATTTAGTAGTATTCTATATTGTTTTACGTTATTTTTTGCTGTGTTTTAATTAACTTTGTTACAAAAACTTATGTATGACATTATGCAAATGGTTTTTTTTGTTATTTTTGTAGTATCGTGTTTGTTGTGTTTTTATCAATGTTCTAAAAAGCTCGTCACGGCTCCGCTATGGCGCGTCATGGCTCCAAGGTTTATACTTGCCGTTAAGCTTTGACAAAATGGCGTCTTAAGTCACATACGTATATAAAAATGAATAATAGTAAAAAATACATATAAAATTATTAATTATATACAAAATTGTCGCCTTAAGTCACGATTTACAAACAATATGGCTCGCCACGACTCAAAAAAACTTGAGGTTTAACATTGCCGTCAAATCACGCCTTACGTTATTTAGAACCTTGGTTTTTATGTCGCATTTGTGTCAACGAAAAAAAATATATTTTTTCAGTCTGGAATATATAAGGTGTCAGAATGTCAGCCAGCCACCAACAACTCCAAAACGGACTATCTATTATTATTTTTTTTTTTTTTTTTTTTTTTTTTTTTTTTTTTTTTTACATCAAGGACTTTCTAGTTTCTAGTTTCTACTGCTCGCGACCGAATGCAGTATTCCAATATGATGGATCGTTTTACAAATATAAGAAAATTGATCATTTTTATTAATATAGTTATTTATATGTGTCAGTTTAGTTTTCCTAATAAAATTCCATTAAATTTTTGTTAATTCCGTTTAAAAGTTCAAGACAAATGTGATTATTTATTTATTTTTCGTTTTTTAGTTAAGCTTTTACATTTGACATGTTTAACGTTTTATCATCGTTTTTTATGCATACATCGCACATTGAAATCACATTCCATGAGCGTCTTCTTCCTCGGTACAGAATACAGTCATCCCGTTTTGAAAACGTAGCTCGCACTTTCAGTAACAGAGATCAACACCCTTCAGAATTTCACTAGTTCGCGTTAGATAAAGAAGGAAAAACCCACGAAATTTCACGCTCTTTCGTTTCACCCAATTGAATCGATTTTATCCATATTTCGGGTCGATCGATTCCACTTTCAGGTAATACTTTTACTTGCACATTCATTTTCTCTTTGTCGATATTGATTCTAAATGATACCCTATCTTCAAACATGGATTTTGACAGTCGAATCTCTGGCTATCTCTATTGCATGAAACATTTATGTTTTATTAAGATTGTTTATACGAAATGTGAAGCTATTTTTAAAATTAGGGTTCCTTTGATTTTCAGGTTGTTTGTGTTCTTGAACGGCGACACCATCAACGACGGAGAACTTTTAACGATTTCTACTTGTCGATATTTGAATCGAGAATTTGAGCTTTAAAATTTTGTTCAATGCTCAATAAATATCATGCGAAACAACTAAACCTTTTTAGGGTTCCATCATTCGGTTTAGTTAATGGGCGTTTGTTCGTAAGCAATCGGCTGCTGCAATGCCTGAAAAGGATGTGTTCAAATCAAGGTTCCTCAAATCCCTATTCTTCATCACACTTTTCTTCCTGATCCTATCATTATCCCTCCTCTTTAGATTCAGCAACACATCTTGGATCAATACACCATCTTACAACCTAATTCTTCTCGACAACACTGAAAACACTGACCCAATTCAACTTAAATCAATCCCTTTTCCACCTTCACCAGATTCATGTAACCCAAATCAAGCACTACTAAAAGTTTTTATGTATGATTTACCTCCCGAATTCCACTTTGGACTACTAGGTTGGAAAGGAAAATCAAACCAAATTTGGCCTAATGTGAGTAATTTTATTGAAATCCCATCATACCCAGGTGGATTAAACTTGCAACATAGTGTAGAATATTGGCTAACACTTGATCTTTTATCATCATCATCAACAACTCCAAACATACATAGACCTTGCACTGCAATTCTTGTACAAAATTCAACCCTAGCAGATATAATTTTCGTCCCATTTTTTTCATCTTTGAGTTACAATCGACATGCAAGGATTTATGGAAAAGGGAAAAAAGACATGAACATGATTTTGCAAGAGAAATTGGTGAAATTTTTAAAAGGTAGAGACGAATGGAAACGATTTGGAGGGAAAGATCATCTTGTTATGGCTCATCATCCTAATAGTATGCTTTTAGCTAGAAAACACTTGAGTTCTTCAATGGTGGTGCTTTCTGATTTTGGAAGATATCCTGTTCAGATTGCTAATATTGATAAAGATTTAATTGCTCCTTATAAACATGTTGTTAGGAGCATCAATGCTAGCAATTCACTTGACTTTGAAGAGCGAACTACTTTAGTTTATTTTCGTGGAGCAATTTATAGAAAAGATGTAAGCTTTTTGTCCCTTTAATTATATAATCTCAAGTTTTTTCCAATCTTTTTTTTTTTTAATGTGATTATGAATATAGGGTGGAGTGATTCGTCAAGAACTATACTACATAATGAAAGATGAAAAAGATGTTTATTTCTCTTTTGGAAGTGCACAACAAGGTGGGATACGTACATCATCTGTAGGAATGGCAACTTCTAAATTTTGTCTGAATATTGCTGGGGACACACCTTCATCAAATCGTTTATTTGATGCAATTGCTACTCATTGTGTCCCTGTTATAATCAGTGATGAAATTGAATTACCATATGAAGATGTTCTTGACTACTCAAAATTCTCCATTTTTGTTCATTCTTCGGATGCTTGTAAAAAAGGTTACCTTTTGAAGCTTCTTAGGGGTATCAAGAAACAAAAATGGAGACAAATGTGGGAAAGATTGAAGCAAATTGCACCACATTTTGAATATCAGTATCCTTCAAGACATGGTGATGCTGTGGATATGATTTGGCAATCGGTTTCTCGAAAAGTATCATTTGTAAATAATCAAACTTATAGAAAAAACAGATACCGAATGTCACAAGAATTCTTGAAATCACGTTAATAGTATAATCGTAATATATGTGCTTTATAATGTTTGCTTCTATTGCTAGTATAAGCTTTTGTTTTAATTTGAAACTACAAACTATCGATCATACAAAAAACTATATAAATTAAATAGAGTCTACTACACACTTGTATTTAGCTTGGTTTTAGAATGAACAAGAGAGGGAGAAAGGAGCTTAAACAAAACTATGGAAATCAAACAAACCTATCGAACAACTTTGTCAACTTTGATCAAACTTTTTCATCTTGTGTTATGAATTGGGTCTGAACCTCTTCGAATTCTTCTTTTGTTTGATTGATTTGGATCAAACATCATTGCGGGTGTTGGTGCTATATTCAACTTTGTATCCATTTGTTCTTCAACTTTAAGAACACGCGAATTTCTTGAAAATAATCTTTCTTCTCCCCATTTTAGAGCAAGGTCGATGCTTTTAAGTGGAGTGATGCTTTCTGATTGTGTAGATAGAAACATGATACAAACAAGGATTATCATCACCTTGTAAGTGGTAATGGTAATCCCCATGGCTGGATAGAGAGAGAGAAAGAAAGAGAGAGAAAGAGAGAGAGAGATGGTGGTGTTGTGTTTGTTATGGAATGGAATATGACTGTTACATATAAGGTAGGGTTTGATCTTTTATGAGATTTGGATGTAAATAAAGATGGAAAAAGCAAAGAAGTAGATTCATTTCAATCATATGCATATCAAGGGGATGTTCTTTAGGAGTTTCTGACAGGTTTGAATGAAAAAGCAACTTGGGACATCAATCTTGGAATCTTTATAGAATTTGTTCCCTATTTTTACGTCATCGTCACTTCTTTGTAAAGTAAATGAAGGGTTAAGTAGACAAGTTATGTGTTCTCCATTATAGAATCCAATTTCAACTAACCTCGTTAGCAAGTAAGAATCCATAAGTGATGTGTTAGGTTCGGAATTGGTTGATGGGGACTAGTATGAAAATTATGAAATATAGTAAGTTTTTCTTTTGTTTGTTGTTAACAATTTAAATGGTTTATTTGGAATTTTTCAAAAAAAAAATGTGAAAATGTATCTTGGCTGCAAAAGCTATTGGAGATTGCTACAGATGCAAGAAAGCTAGATAAAGGAAAAGATGAGGGAATAGAAACATCTTCAAAAAAACAACAAGAGTTTGCTTTATGCTCTCTTAAACTTAACTTTAGAATTCCAAGCTCTTATATCCATGCATTCACAAACCAGTCTTTGTTTCTTGTGTCTTAATATCTTGCTTTATGCTTTTCTTTCTTTCCCTATAATATAACCATTTGTTTTTGCAAATTCATATATATATATATATATATATATATATATATATATATATATATATATATATATATATATTTCTCTTATGGGTCCCCCATTTATTTTTATTTTTATTTTTATTTTGTGATTCTCATTTAATCAAATACAAGATTAAATAAATGGTCACACGTCACCACAACCAGAATTTACACACATATATATATATATATATATCTCAAATTTCATTTTTTGATACAAATAACATCAAGAACACTTCAGTCATGTTTCTCCATAGATATATACTATTGAAGTGGCTAGTGGGTGGGGCCTACTATGGGTAATTGGGCACTGGTATGACAGGTGTCGGTGACATGGCAGGTCCTGGTGCAATGGTGACTTGCAACCCTCTATGTTGCCCTGAATGAATCATGAATGCCACGTCAGCTGCTGCCAGTGCTTCCCTTTCCTGCTTATCGAAAATAATAATATGAAAACTGGCTTCTTCTTTTTTAACAAATCTTGAAGCTTTTAATTTGTAGTGTGGGACATAATTTTATTAAAAAAAATAGTCTTTTTTTTTACCTGGGATTGCCTACGGTGCTGCAATATACTGATTGCCCAAATCATTATGTAGCAAGGAAGAAGAAACCCAGCTGCCCGAAGCACAAACAGCTGCCCGAAATCATATAAGAATCATCAAGATGTGCTACAAATAATACTAAGATACTAATTTATCAGAGCATATACAAAAGTTTAAATAAATTCGACTTACAGCAAAAAAGGCAGAAGGATCATCAACATCATCATCATCATCACTACCACCATATCCGATTGTGAGAGCATGCCTCAACAGCAAAAGACCCATCAACTGTGACAAAATTGCCATAATAAAAATCTAATAATATATTTGAATTTTGATTAAAGAGATGGTAAATTGGTAATGGCTTACTATGATAGCAGATGAGCGACAAAAAGAAGCTGCACTGGTACTGTTTTCTTCATATTCATCATAATTATTCTCAGCTGCCATAGGCAAAACTCGAGGATCATTCAAGTCTACAGGTGAACCAGCAATAGTCCAACTTCCGCTGTATAAGAATTAAATCAATATAGAGCTTCTTCTGATCAGTGATAACAAACTAAGAATCAAGGATGGGATAAGATATAACATGCCTGATATCAATAACGGTGTCTTGTGATTGAGGTGTAGGAGCAGAATAACCAGATTTGTAAGGCTGATGACAGATTTCACAGATGATATCTCGTTTTTCATTGCACCATCGCTGAACACATTTTCTATGCGCAAACTGTGAAATATGATGATTTTAGCATAATATCGACAAATGTGTCTTTAATAAATAAAGAAGAAACTTGCCTTGAGGCTGCCGCTGCAAGCGCAAGGAACTTCTAGGTTTTTGATGCTATCTTCCTCCTGGCAGATGCGGCATTCAGTTGACGGAATCAATGGCTCTTTCTCACCGGATGCCTCGTATTCCGTTGTATCAGTCGGCAGATTAGCAGCATCACTGAGCTGATCAACACGCGAAATTAGGTGGTCTTCCATCTGCAAAACCACACTTTCATCAATATCGTTAATTCAAGTTCTAATTACGAAATTTTGGGGAAACCCCAAACTAGTTTGCTGCGTACACGAATCAGAAAAACCGGCTATGTTGCAGAAAATCAGTCCACAAGATACATAACTTACATACGTAAACATCATAGAAACTGAATCAAAGCAATTACGAACGATAGTCCAAAACCCTAGTACAATAGGGGAGCTCAAAACACAGAAATAATACGAAATTGAACTAGAATCGAGGGTTGAATACCTTAAAAGAAGTGATCGAGTAGGTGGAATTAGTGTTGGACAGATGAAATCGTAAGTTTGATATTGTAACTCTGGTCTGGTTTCAAAATCTAGGGTGTGAGCATATTGATTTGGGGATATGGATATTTTGGATAAAATACAAGAAAATGGATATGCAATTATGGGATATTTCGCATTGTTTGACGCGGTTCAGACGTTGACGAATCTTGTGCATTTTTCACCAAAAAAGAAAGTTTCAAATACGTTATCGATTTACCAAGAAAGTGTTCTTCGTACATCGGTAAATTATATACGTATAAACAGCTACTACTGTTTTTGAAGGGAAGATTAAAGTCTTATTTTTAAAAGGAAAAATGAATAAAAGAGTAACAACTTGTTACTTCTATTCACATTCGTTTTTTTTTTACATCATTAACATTAAACCCTTATTTTATGTTTAAATTATACCATTACCATCGTTTTTCTAAAGCTAGAGGAAGTTGTAACACTCCTAACACCTTGCCACATAAGATGTTTTGATGTCACATAGGCTGAAAGAAGTAGTAGCATCCAAGTTGTAAAAAGTAGGGTTGTGCATTGGTTGGTTTGGGTCGGTTTTGGACCCAAACCCAACCCAACCCATAAATGTTCGGTTTCTGGTTTTCAGTACCCAGTAGGATCGGTTTCTGGTTGGTTCGGTTTCTTGGGTTCTGAGGTCGGTTTTTTGGGTTCAACCCATACACTCACGGGTTCTGGGTTTAAACCCATGAGTTTTGGGTTTTAACCCATTTTCCAGAAATGATGCAAGAAGTAAAATACTTCAAAAACACCATATTGAAGTTAAATACTTCAAAAAACATGAGTCTTACAACCAAATAGTCCATTACAAGTTACAACCAAAGCCCGAAATAGTCTATTATAACCAAAAAACAATCAAGTATGAGTCGGTTTCTCGGGTTGGGTGGGTCGGTTTCTTGGGGCTGTTTGTCGGTTTTAAGTATGGGTCGGTTTCTCGGGTTGGATGGGTCGGTTTTTGGGTAAAAACCAAAACCAAAACCGAACCCGACTTTTCGATTTTTAAAAAATTCAAACTCTAACCGTTGGTTTTGCTGCGGTTTCGGTTTTTTCGGTTTCAGTTTCGTCGGTTTCTCGGTTTGTTGGTTTGGGTTTGCTCACCCCTAGTAAAAAGGTAGGGATTGGTAGTGTGTGATTTTAAATAAGTTTTATTTTGAAAATAAAAATAAAATAGAGCAACAACTAATAGTTTTTGTGGTTAAAAGATGAGCGGTCAATCAAAGCAAAGTTTCTTCTCTCTCTCCTCTCGCTATGCATGTAACGAGCTGTTCTTAGCACCTTCCTTAGCACATGCTAGGGGGTGGTGTTTGACAAGCTTAGCACTCCTTAGCAAGTGAGCTTAACACCTCCACTCCTTATAGTCTAATAGTTAACATCCAATTAGCATATATGTAGAATCTATATGACATATGAGATTGAAAAAATAATTTAAGAGGGTAACCAAATGTCACTTTTGTTCACATTTAATCTCATCTTTTGTACACCATTTACAATTAAACTTTTATTTTGTGCTCAAAATAATCTTATCACTGACAATAACTTGTATTTCTAGTTTCATCTTTTCAAATCGTAGAATACAATCGTTACAGCCAAACCCTCATTAAATATGATAACTCCGAAATGTGATAACAATCAGTTTTTTTATAATCGAGAAGTGGTGTCGTGTTTTAGCTGATACAACACGACATGATAATTTTTTATATAATATGAACACGACACGCCACGATGCCGCAACAGATCGTGCCGCCACTACCTTCCTCTTCATCTTTCTCCCTATGGTCAATACGATGTTGCCACATAACGCGCCGCAACCACCATTCTCCTCATATTTTTTCCTTCCTTAGCCCTGATAGTATACTGGGCTTGTGTTTCTTTCTCTCTATCTTGAACTATGACCATCATCGGGCTCTTTATTTGTAAGAGTCAAACAAGTTGTCGACGCCGCCCTGTATCACCGATGCACACCCTTCATAGCCGAACACACCATCAATAACCAACGCTTATTCCACAACCATCGGTTGTAGCACCTGGTTCTTGGTACGTATTCTTTTATTAATTCTTTAAATATTTTGCATTTTTTTGGCCTTGGACTCGGCGAGTTGAAGGACCAACTCGCCGAGTAGAAGCGGGACGGAACGCGAGATTTAAGCGATGGACTCGACGAGTCGGGTCCCGGACTCGGCGAGTAGACGCTGTCTGGACAAAAACCCTAATCCAAGGGTTTGCACCCTATTTAAACGACCTTATGCAGCCTTCATCGCCCCTTTATGCTCCCAAACACCTCTCATTGAAACCCTAGCCGTTATTGAAGCAATCTAAAGCATTTGGAGTGACTTTGGTGTTTTTGTGATCCAAGGAGGGAAGGAAAAGCTTGAAGGATCAAGATGAGGCTAAAGGGATCCGAGTTTGTGCACCATTTTCAGCTTATTGAAGGTAAAAAGTCTGTACCTTGGTTGTTCTTTTGATAGATCCCATTTTGTGGAGTTCTAGGGCTTTTCTAATCCATTTTGGTCACCAACCATGATTGCAAGCATGGTTTGGGGTTGATGTTTCGGATCTAGGTCCTTAGAGGGGTTACAAGGCAGAAAGGAGTGGCTTTTTGCACTCAAAGAAGGCCCCATGCATTGTAAGAGCTTGTTTTAGGACCTTTTGAGCTCAAAGTCTCATGCAAGCACGTAAAGGTTGTAACTTTACGTGCTAGATCGATTGTAGAAGCATAGATCTATCTTTTGATCAAAGGTTGTACATCAGAAATCGAAGATTTAGTGAGAGGATGTGACTAACTCGACGAGTCCATTCTTGGACTCGGCGAGTCCTAGGGTTCTGTGCCATATCTGTTGAGGGTCAAAAGGGCCCAGTTGAGTGTGGAAAGGTTTTAGGGAGTCCCGGGGAGTGACCCAATGTTCTGGACTAAGCTATGGTTCTGGAATTCATGGGACTCGGCGAGTGCATGAACAGACTCGGCGAGTCCAAGGCAATCTTCTTAAGATTGAAGATGAACTCGACGAGTTGTTCATACAACTCGGCGAGTCAAGGACAGGACCTGTTCATCAGTTGAAGATGAACTCGACGAGTTGTTTATACAACTCGGCGAGTCGGATGAAGATTCAGTAGATGTTCAATTAGAAGGAAAACTCGTCGAGTCATCGCCTAACTCGACGAGTAAAGACGAGTATAAGGTCAAATAGAAGGATAGGGACTCGGCGAGTTGGCGAACCAACTCGGCGAGTCAGGTCAACTGGAAGTTGACTTTGACTTTGACTTTGATTCGGTCAGGGGTAAAATGGTCATTTTACCCTAAAAGCAGTTGGCAGTGTATGACTAAGTGTTTTGTGGGAATTATAGCCGGAGGATTTCCGGAGCAGCAGCAGTAGCAGTCAGAGGATTTCCCGCACAGATCAGCAGCTACTACGAGGTGAGTTACCTTCCAGTAGCGGTGGGTCTACGGCCACAATGCCGGCCCACCAGTAGGGATCATATGATAGATGTTTGTCTTTGTGATATTCATATGTGTTATTACTACCTGATATGTTATATGCTAGCGTGATATGATATGTGATAGTAATAGCGTTCGGTTGTTAGGACCGAAGGATAGGTTAGGCACCCCAGATATGCCTAACAGTATGCTATGATATGTTTAGCTGCTAGCATGATATGTTACATGAGATAGAGGTAGTAGGAGGGGGAATAGTCCCTGAGATTCGGTTGTTAGGACCGAAGGGTAGGTTGGACACCCCAGATTTGTCTGACAGTAGATTATGCTATGATATATGCGGTAGTAGTGGTAGGGGTGAAATAGTCCCCGAGGTTCAGTTGTTAGGATCGAAGGGTAGTCAGCACCCCAGAATGGCTTGACACGGGTAGGTCACCACCCCAGAATGGCTTGACACGGGTAGGTCGGCACCCCAGAATGGTCGTACCGGGTAGGTCAGGCACCCCAGAAATGTCTGGCAGTATGTACGCTATATGATTGTATGGTATGTGGACGATGGGGGAAACTCACTAAGCTTCGTGCTTATAGTTTACAGTTTGTTTCAGGTACCTCTTCAGCGAAGGGGAAGGACCTGGCGCGGTAGCGGCACATCATACACACACGCATTGGTTTTTCCGCATTATGAGATGTTCTGGGATTGTACTCTGGCATTATTATTATTGTTATGATTTGGTTTTCAGACACGAGATATATTTTTATGAAATGATATGATCGGATGATGTTTTATTACAAATGTTTTACAAATCAATTAATCAAAAAGGAAATTTTTGGACGTGAAAATTTGGGATGTTACAAGTTGGTATCAGAGCCCTGGTTTGAGGGATTCGGACGCACCTTCGGGAGTGTCTGGACTCAAATCGAGGGACTAAAGGGATTTTTACAAAAGAAAATGATTTTCTAAAAGTTAAGATAAAGAGTTTGGAAAAGAACGAAGTGTGTGATGTGCGCGACCGGCCGAGCTCAAGTAAGTATTCCCCAAAGTACCCATACAAGTTTATGATATGATTACCAGTCTCAGTTTCAGTAGAACTGCATGCTAACTTAGGGCTAAGGATCTAGGAAGGATGCCTTATGTGCCTATTATATGTGTACCAGCTTATTGAGAACTGCATGCTATTACAGATTAGTCGGTATGATAGCCAGAGTAGTATATACTTGATTATGTGTACTCAATGCCCGAATGCTGCTTGCTTTGTGCTTTTAGAAGTTCTAGTTGTCTTTCACTAACTAGTAAACGAATATGTTAAGTTACATATTGCAAGGACTAAATAATTTCAGAAGGTTGGGTCTAGCTCTATTTCGCAGCTCTTGTTTGAGTCCAACCGTTGTAGGGTAGGACCTCTCATTCGAAGAATTATCTAGTCTGAGTAATATGTAATAGTATTCGCGAGCTAGTTAGGGGAAGAAAGCCGGGACTTCTTATGCAGCTGATGGCGGAGAGTGGGTTGGTGATTACCTAGGGCAAGCCTAGGATGAGATTAGCATGAGATCAGCAGTAGTAGTAGAAGGGACTTGGTGGAGTCGAGGCGATTCTTGAGGAAAGTACGGATAGATGTGGAAGGTAGTATGGGCCCGTACTACTGAAAGCAGAGGATCCGTACTTGAATCAAGGAAGGCTAAGGCAAGACCAGGGAACTTGTAGTAGATGTGATCCCTTTAGAGGTGTC